TTCCCCAACACAATTTAAGAGGCTCATTAAACCAGTTAATAGTGCAGCGGCGGCACTGACACCATGCCATTGAGTTTCCAGTTTCCTTTGTATCAAGGTCCCGAGGGACTGGAGCATTTAGCTCCAGTGCTAAGTGGCATCTCAAGAGCCCGATCGTGTGAGCTTTGTCAGGAGCTAGAGAGGGCAGCTCGTCCTGGAAAAACAAAGGCGGCAACAATGCTGTTCTTGGAAGAGTGAGGCCCTCCCCGCCTCGGAGGACGATGGCTGGCTGAGCACCCAGCGAGCAGGCAGGCACAGGTCACCCTCAGCGCCCGTCCCAGCAGGGACATCGGCAGGCATCCGAGAGACAAACCTGCTCACCGCAGAGCAACTCGGGGGAAGTGGGGCAAAAGCTGAACAAGCACTTTCAGACAAACACTAACTGCATTTTTGTGACTCTGTTGGTAGCCCCTTAGAAGCACATGCAGCTCATGGGGGCGAATGCTGCAGCGAGACACAAGCGACAGGCAGGGTCAGAGGCCCAGACCTCTGCGGTGAGAGGCATCACACCCTGCAATCCCCAGTGACAAACCAAGCACAGAACCTGCCTGGCCACACATCACATTCATCTGAGGCACCACAATGATTCCACAAGGTATTTAGCAATAAAAAGATCCAGCAGCAGTGAAAATGCTCACTATAACATTTTTTTTTTTTTAAAGCAGCAATGCCTCAGCATGTACATAAATATGGAACAGCAAGATTGAAACGGGGTGTTGTACCAAGGCACAGTCAGTTGGCTGAAAGAGAAGACAACTGCCTCTTCTGGGCTTGTGCCTCTGCTTCGTTGACTGCCTGTATCCATTAATTGGATCCCCATCACACAGGTGGGAAATGAACCCACCAGAAGCACCTTACTGCTCTGCCATTCAGCCCAGGAATAGGAAATACACAACAAAGAGCTGAGGCATAATTGACATGTAGTACCTGTCAGGCTTTCTGATGGGAAGGGAAAAAATCCCTCTGCTCAGAGGCTTTGCAGATTGGTATCTTTAGTTACATCAAATGGCAAACAGGAACTGGCATGCCTTGTGAAGGATGCAGCCACTGTCTATGGCTGTTCACATCCATTACAAGGCAAGTCTATTGAAATGTTCCCCAAGGTCTTTCGCACTCAGGTAGCGGAGGACAGCCACATGCCAAAGACACTGCGACAAGCCAGTCCAAAACACGTGCTGCTGCATCCTTTATGCTCCCTATGGCTCTCAAAGTACTTTCAGAGAAAATTAAACCCTTAGACTTCTTAAAGTCAGCCTCAGAACAGAGAGGTGTCAAACCTTGCCAAACGCTCCAGAAACTCGTCACTAGGCTAATCCCAACCATTCCCCCCCAAGAGCAGTTCAGCAGTCGCTGCACCTCCCTTGCCCAGACACACCACAGCAGCGGTCCAGGGAAGGGAGCGCCAACGCTGCGGCTCTGCATCCCAGAGTATCTGCTAATACTCATCTTCACAGTGCCTGGAAAGGACAAGCAAGCACCCGTATCGCCTCAGGTGGATGAAATACTCAGTGAGCAAAGACATGGGGCACAACCACAATGAAGTAATATAATAAATTGCCAGCCAACTGTCCCTTCCTTGGGACAATGCTTTTTCATCTTCAGGCAGAGATCAGGGGACAGACACGTTATATCTGTATTTCATCCAGGCTTTCAAACTCTCCTCAAAATAGTAATTTCAATGAAAGAGGAAACAAATCAATAGTTATGAGTTCTCTTAGGGGAGAAGACAACCAGTAGACTTAACCCCAGCTGGTAACTATCCTGCCAGCTTTGCCACATTAATTTCCCTTTCCTGAACTGCAAAATTTCATACTTGGTACAAAATGAGACCTGATCAGTGCTCTAGTGCTGAAATTCTATTACAGAGCACACATCCCTGGTCCCAAGCTATGTGTGAAACTCTTCTGCCATGTCTTACAGCCTTCAGGAGTCTTAAAACCAAGGCATTTAGTATTTCCTAATTTCAATGGATGAGACTTTTTTAACACCACAGAAATCCTTGGCAGAATATTTGCCTCAGGTGTGTATACTAATTTTGTGCAAGTGTATTATATGATTTTGTAACATTCAGTTTTCCCCATTACCTGGTATCTCGTGATGTACAAGGTTATGAACATTGCTTCCTAATCACATTAGAAAAAAAAACCCCAAACCATTCGTGTGACTATTACATACTAAAATTTGTTTTGTGAGCAAAAGGATTATTTCTTCTCCATAATAAGTAATTCTTCAGTACTCTGACACAATCAGCAGCTACCTTCAACTATTTGAATCAATAGAAATGTATTGACAGACAGCCCCTACTTCCCTGAAAGAAAAAAAACCCTGCACCTACATTTTAATTTTATGAGGCAAGCAGACACGGAGCTACATCCATGTGCCCTGAGCCAACCGGTCTCCAAACCCAGGTTCAGTCTGTTCACTTTGACACCTTCAGTCACTGATTCCAAACAGGATTTAAATCACCAAGCAGAAACCTTAAGACACGTTTTAACCTTGATTTGCATTTGTATTTCCATTAAAGATCATTAGTTTTCATTAACTGGGCTAGCCATTAAAATAGCAGAGATCTGCAGGCAACCACCACTGTCAAAAGAATCCTAACTCAATAAATATATGGAACACTAATAAAGTGAAATGAAAAATCTATGTTTCATCACTATTCTGATTTTCTTCCTCTCAAGATTTGGAGCAGAACACATGGATGCAAATTAGAACTAAATGAAAACTGACAAAGCTACCTTAGGCTTACGGGGCAACTGATACATTTCAGATTTAAGATTGATTAAATAAATTAGTAGCTGTTTGCAGTGGGTTACATCTCTTGGTTCAAAGGCCCTAAAAATGACTGGTTTTGCTCGAAGCATTACTATTTTAGAACCAAAGGCTTAAGCAACTCTTCCTGTGTTGCTGTTCAGCATCTTGTTTACATGGAGTTTAGACACCCATCCTGCTTATATATACACACTATCGAAAACATTTTGTGTTTATATCCTTTGTAACTTAAATATTATTTTAATTTTGGTCTCAGGGTACAAGGTTTCCCTGAACCACTTTCCTCCTCCACCTATTTCTTAACATCTCATCATAAGCAAAAAAACCCAAATCTTTTTTTTTTTGGATTCTTAATGAAGTAATATAAACCCAAACAGTTCTTTATGCATACTTATTAACTGAAATCAATATTTTACAGAAAAGCATTCTTGCATAAAAAGGAGGTATCTAAGTAAACAGCATTGACTCCATTGTAAAGCAATAGGTACTTTAAGTATTACAAGATATTTTGGCATCCCAAAAGTTTGAGCTGATGTTAGATGATAAAGGTGTTTCTCAAATTCAGCATAACATTAAAACAGTGTAATTCTTTAACTGCATGAAATGTGAAGTTTCCATTAAAATGGGTTTTCAATAAAACGCAGAAAAACAGAAACATTAATTTTCTAAATACTTCAAAATACATTAAATTTTTAGTTTTAGAACTGGACAAACTAAAACTGGTAAAAGCAAGCCTCAGACACCCATTCAGACTTTAATTGTTTAGCGTTTGGTATTTGCTTTTATGGAACAAGAACTCGAAAGGTGTTTTGTCTTTTTCTGAAAGAGGAAGAGCCCCAGTTATTCACAGGGGTCACAGCAATTTCTTGCTCTTTTAGTCTTTATTTTTGCAAGTTTCCCAGAAATGTACAAAAAAATTGCAAACAATCAAGAATTCTGTCATTAAATGACTTTGTCTCTTTACAAAATTCCAGACAAAGCACACGGACTATAAAAAGACATGTTCTTTTATTAGCATTCATCCCAGGAAAAAGCCTCTTTTGAAACGTTTCAGTATGTCAAAAAGCCACTGGAAGTTGGTTCACTGATGTGGCTTCCCACCCAGCTGAACATCTAATGGGGGGTGGATCTTTTTTATTTTGTACTTGATCAACATCACAGTCCATTTCTCAAGGCAATGAAAAAAAATGCTTAATATGAGTCAACAGCCAACTACAATTTAACCCTCAATAAAAGTCTATTTTTGGCAGAAGGTTCATCTTTCTTTAAAATTACTATAACCGTGAGTTAAAATAATTTCTTAAATTTACTTTAAATGCTGTTCATAATGAGGATTAAGCCTTTTCATAACTGTAGAAAAGTAATTTCTGTTCACTGAGGTTTTGAATTCTTCAAAAGACTGATGTTAGACAGGCAAAATGACAGAAAAGCCAATTTTCTCTTAGAATTTAAGCAAGACCTTGTCCATCTCCTTGAGTAACTTGTCTCTATTTTTCCAACTAGTGGCAGGAAATCTTCATTTCTACAGCTGATGTCTATACTCTTAATTTCCACATACCTCATCCTTGCCACAACACATTTTGAGCATCCTTTTAGGATTAAAAAATGTACTGCCTTCCCCAAGTGCACAATAAGGCACTGCATTTTTATCATTTCCAGCCTTGTAAATGGCACAGGCTATTACAGACAGTCTGCTTGAAAAAAACAGGATACAATATTCATGTGCTTTGTTAAAGGAGGCAGATCTACTTTTTATGGCAATCAACTAAGGCAAGAAAGACTTTCATTTCATTAGAATGAGAAAATAAGGATGAAGTAGCTTTAAAACAAAATACTTTCAGTGTAGTACTTAAATTTAGAGCAAATAAGGCTACTAACCCTCACATGGGACTGCAAAAGCAAATTAAGTTCCAAGGTTGATCCAGGGGCACTGGGGAAGCTGGCAGCGGGCAAGGAACTCTGGCACAAGGAAGTTGTACAAACCTCAAACGTCCTTCCTGGAGATCCAAGATCAGCGTGAAAGAGTAAGAATTTGAGATCAAGTTTTCACAACTTCCATGCTGAAGCACTGTCCTCAATCAGTATGTTTACATGACTCATCTCCCCAGTCACCACAACAGTACACTTAAATTTCTTCCTTCCCACCCTGACTGCTCACGTACTCATTCTTTCCGAGTTTATTTTCCATCACTACAACTTGCAGTCCAAGGCTACACTTGATTATCTGTACCAACACAAGATGACTCCTTGTAACAGTAACTTTCTCAGCAGTCCAGTGTCCACAGCAGGGTCAGAGGAGAGGGAAATGGCACAACAGCCCCACAGGTATCCACTTCCAGAAGACTCTTCAAATTCTGATTAGGGTGTGAACTAGAAATGCAAGTCGCGTCCTATCCTATCAGGCACCCCCCCCCCCCCAAAATATAAGACCACAGCTGACAAAGACAGGCTTCTGGCTGAGAGCAGATATTCTTTCTCCCCTTCTGCCAAGGAACAGGGATGGTGAGCAGATGCTGTCGATCCAGATTAAGATGTGGTGTTGAAGCTATATAATTAAGCGTACACAGTGTGCACCTATACCGCACGTGGCCCTAGGAGAGCAGCTGCACTTCTTCAATTCTACCAATACCTTTAAATTTAACCCAAACCAGGTAACACTAAAGCAGCAGATAGATTACCTGCTGTTAGCAGGCTGGCAAAAATAACTCCCCAAAAATCAAACCAAAGCTTCCAGCTATTTCCACAAACACATATATTGATAAAACTATATACGTAAGAAATAAATCCTGCAATTTACTCAGCACTTTTTATTATAAGAGCTATGATGTTCATTTTAAGGCTCAGTGACAAATCCTGTTTGGTACATCATCACCTTATTAAAAACCTGTCACACGTGCAGAGAATGCTAAGTTATATTAAGTATGCTGTTAACTTGACAAAATACAGCCTGCTGCTTTCCACCTGACTAACACTGCAGCAAAGATGGCACATTTTCAAGGGGTGGGAAACAGACACCCTCTCCTTTCCTCACCAAAGCTCCAGATCCAGTTGACACTCTAAAACCAGTATAAATGTCTCAGCCACAAAGGCAACATATCAAACTCAACCATAACACTCCACTCCAGATCCACATATATACATCAGTTATTAGGATGTGACTGCCACCCAACTGCAGTAAGTAAAAGAAATGGAAACAGTCGTTTGAAATACTCCATTTATCCAGATATGAAGGAAGGGCTAGACTGATGCTGAACAAGAAGGCAGTTCAAAAGCAAAACCAAAAGATGCCTCAAAGTGACAGATATTGATAAAGGCGGAAATTACAACTTTTTATCCAGTAATCAAAAGGAGCACAAAGTTCTTTTGCACAGAAGGCAATGATCTGACAGCGTGGCCAGTGCACTGTGCAGTTCATGCCAGTGCAGTCACATATGGTATCAGTGGCTTCAGCCATCAGCAAAAGACTCGGAATAATAAAGGAATGCCAGAGTCAGATCATTAAACATCTTGTAAGGGAGTATATTTGTATCATCACTTGAGCATTTTCACTTGTATGTCCTAGTTTCAGCTGGTATACAGTTAAATTTTCTTCTTAGTAGCTAGAATAGTGCTGTGCTTTGGATTCAGCAGGGGATTTGATATGAGAAGAATGTTGATAATAGACTGATGTTTTTAGTTGTTGCTAAGAAATCAAAGACCTTTCAGCTTCACATGTCCTGCTAGTACACAGGTGCACAAGAACCTGGAGGGGAGCACAGCTAATGGAATATTCCAGCAAACTGGCCAATTGAATATTCCATATCATACAGCATCATGCTTGGTATATAGATGAGGGTGGGCCAGGAAACTTGCTCTCTTTCCAGGATTGTGGTTTTGGAATCTTCTCTGGGATTGCTAGCTGGGAACAGACTGGGTGTCAGTCTGCAGGTGGCGAGCAATCATGTTGTTTATTACTCATCTGTATTTTCCATTATTATAATTTTATTTCAATTACAGTTTTTATCTCAAACCATGAGTCTCCTTACCTTTAGCCCTCCAATTCACTCCCACATCCCAAGGGTGGGAAGACGGTGAGTGAGCAGCTGTGTGATGTCTGGCTGCTGGCTAGGTTCAAACCACAACACTCGTTATCAGAGGGCAAGTGCAGAAACCCAGTGTTATCTCCATTAATTAAAATACCCTTCACGGTGAAACCTTTGCATGATATTTTAGGGAATTTAGGGAATTTCAGCTACACAGTAAAAGTATGTCAATGCTGCTTACTACTCTGTATCAGGCTTCTTTGGAAGATACAACAGGTCCAGTATCTTCTGTCAGCAGGATTCCAGCATGAACTGTTACTCTAAGTGTCAGTGAAGAAATGAAAATTAACTTTCGCCTTCCTACATGTATGAGTGGTTATACTCAGACAGTTAGTTCATATAGTCTCACTATCTGCAAAGTCCACTTAATTAATCCTTTGGTTTATACTCATCCACCTATTTCAGGGAAGTACTTCAGCAAATAGATATACTCTTTGCTTGTTGGTTGAAGGGTTTTTTAATGTGAAGACAAATGGAAGCTTCTGATTAACCACATGTAACTTAACTACATTAAAATCAACTGGATTTTCAGCAGTTTCTAAGCTGTTCACACTTCCCTAAAAAAAAAAAAAGCCTCAGTGCTCAATTCTTAAACAGTTCATCCAATAAAGCTGATGTCATATACCAGATATTACAGATGCATCTCTCGGCTGCAGCTGAAAGCTGGCAAGATTAATCTCCTTTTGCACAACATCCCAAGCCTTGCAGGAAAACAAACCCAAAAAGAATGAATAACCTCACGTCTTGACAAGCAAAGCTTCTTCCATTGGTCTGACTCAAACCATAAATGTTACGTTGTTTTCAACACACGAGTCCCATCTATGCACCATGAAACAATGATGAAAAAAGTATGATGCAGTCTTCTTAAACAGTCACCCAAAATATAGAGAAAGCATACAGAAGCTTGATGCAAAATCCAGAAAGAGTCCAGGGCAGTGCTTGGGTATCACTAAAGATTTAAGGACTACTGGGGATTATGTGGCCAGCCACAAACTGTCTCGTAAGAGGTCATGACAGTGTTCTCTGCTGCTTAGATGAGCAAACAGACTGCCATTCCCCATTAGAGGTTTGTCTATCAGTTAAAAAAAAACCAAACCAAAACAAACAAAAACAAAACCAAGGAAGAGCATACAGTCATGCAGCTGATCGTCGACGAATCACAAAAACACCTCGCTGCAGCTGTCCCAGATATATTCTCATCTTTGTGCTGTCACTGGTTTTCCTCACCCAGATCTGCATGGAAGAAAAAAAAAAAAAAAAAAAAAAAGGGAGATATATTGGGGGAAAAACGGAAAATCCACAGTAAGCAATGCATAGACAAGTAAGTCCAAGTATTCTTATTGCCAGATCTGAACATCTGTGTTACACAGGGTGCACAGATGATTTAACTTAAGCCCTTCTCCCTCCCCACATTAGCCATTTGGAACCTGAGTAGAAAATTAAATAAGGTTTCTAACTTTACCACCTGAACTTCCTGCTCAAAACAGTCATCAAGAAAAATTACTCTTTCCAAGCATCATCAGGAAAGCAAGTTTCCTTCTGCCACAGTTCGCAACAGAACTCTGGCATTAAGCTTTACCTAATCAAGAATAAGTCTCTCTAGACCCACAGATCATAAAACTATCTATCCTGGGATTTGCCCAGACTAGTAACTATTAGTCAAATGAAAAGCTTATTCTGATTTTGTTCAGTGAAGCATTTCTCACAATGTATTAAATAAATTGTATCTGAAGATAAAAGGGCCTAAACACCTGCATGGAAGAATTCACATAACTTGCCAATATACAGTATGTTTCAAAGGACAAATTGCTTCCATAGAGGCAGTCACGCAGAATTTTTTAAAAATAAAAATCACTTTGAAAAAGTTTAGACTCAAATACCTGTACTTTAAAAATCAAATCTGAGCAAAATTCCTCTGCATTTTATCATTCTAATGCATTTAAACATATTTAAATAAATTCATGGAAAATAAGAGTTATCCAGCTCTTAGTACTAGAGTATTTTAGGATACAAATCCAATATTGCCTACTGCAAAGGACTATAAAGTTAGCACTGGCATGAGATTTACCCAAAGCTTTATTTTCAGATACCATATTAGCTACAAGCTTGGCACAGTAGATTGATTTAACTCTATAATTTTAAATTGACTTTACTAGCAGAATCCCTCAACATAAAATAAATTTAACATTTGCCTGCGTTTGTACTTCAGTTATTTCTCTAGAGAAAATAGAATCCACCTTCACTGCTAATCACCTCTCCACTGTAACATTTCCAAGAATTTGGTATGTTTTACTATTCAAAAGAATTCTTAAATCTACAAACTGAAAAACAAATATGTACAGATCACAATCACAGTATGATGGAACGGTATATTTGTTTTGCTATAGTTAACTGCTTTGTTACATTCCATTTGGAGGAAAATTAAAATTCAGTTTTAAGTGACCACAACAGTGAAATTACTTATTAACACTAAAATATGCCACACAGTTCAGAAAAATAAAAGCATCAAGATATATTCTGAACTTATAACTGATATTTTAGACCTTGCAATCAGAAGATAACATCTATTAAAATAACTGAAGGAGATGGTGAATAGAAGCAATCAAATCCATCTCTGAATGTCTATTATTCATACACTGTAAAGAAAAATAAGCTGCTTCCTCCTTTTTTCAACTTCCAACAAACTGAGATTGCTGAATAAACTCATGGGAATAAAAAAAAAAAAAAAAAAAGCAAAAGCCAAAACCCCCACCACTTTCCTGCAGGTACTGAAGTTTATTGTTGTCAAAAGGCAAATGATTGAATTGGTTCCATGCACTTGGCCAATGATTTCCAGCAATGCAGTATTTGATTCACAGTTTTCAAGGAAATCACATCAAAAGTAACAGAAATGCATTCTGTTTAGAATCACATCACCAAGTTCTAATAAATTTGGGCCTGGGAAGATATTTTTAGTTTGTTTTTTAAAGGGAATCATCATAGCTCAGACTGTGTCAGAGAGGCCCATGGCCACTTACAAGATTCAAATCCAGTTTAAGAAAATTTAGACCTTTGTATGAACAAAGATGCCTCTGATACACTGCTAACTACTTTCTTTCACCAGCCACAAGACAGCAGCTGTATGCCATATCTCTGATGTTTCTTAGTTGTCTTTTTACATTGAGCATAAATGAAAATGCAGGTGGGGAGACACTGTGCAACCATATTTGTTAAGTTCTTTTGAATAACTTGACTTCCTTCAGAAATGCTATCGTCCTTCGATTCCACAATTAGAGGCCTCAGATATAGGTCTGCCTTCTAGCTTCTAAATTCAAGCATGAACCAGTAAGGTCATAGTTTGGCAACCATGCTTTTGAACCTGTGGTGGAATCGCAGGTTGTACTCCTAAGAGAACTTCTCACTTCAGTATTCTGTTAAGTATTGATCTTCCTTAGCTTTGTATTGTTGCAGTGAAATATCTACAGGGCAGACAACTACCATGCCTCCTTCCCAGTCTCTCTCAAAAACCACCACAAAACTAAAACAAAGCCTATTGTTTCCCTTTAAAGGGGAACTCATGCAATTATAATTAAAGGATTGCATTTCCTTTGTGTTTCAGATAAAGTGCTCCCAAAACATTGAGTTTTAATGTTTCAAGTTAACAGTAATAACTTTAATCAAATTAGCAGTACTATATTTTTAACGCATCTGTTAGCATACTACTACTACTTCATCTAAATAACCAACCGTGGAGCATAACAACTGTTACTGCAAGGAGAACAGTTGTGATACAAAGCATATCCCATATGCAACTCATTTGGTTGAAAATAAAATATTTTCCCTTAGCTGCCAAAACAAATTGAAGTTATTTTATTGGCTGATTGAAGAGAAGTGCATTCAAGTCTATCATTTCTTTTCTTGCAGTGTCTGGAATCTGCAAGCAAAGAATAAACTGCTCCCTTTGCCCAACTGATGCACTGCTTGAGTACTAAGCTTATTTTGCAGCAAGATTCACATCAATCTTAGGCACCCATCTCTCTTCATCTGCTTCTCTAAGCCTTAATCATTAGCCACAAGGAAATTGTCTTAGACAAATAGACTCACCTGCCCCATCTCCCAAGTAGGTGATGAATGCTGCCAGCTTACTCCACAACACATGTACTCAGGTTAGCAGGAATCATTCTCTCCCCTTACAACAACTAAATTTGATGTCAAAATTTTTCCTCTTCTGAATTCCCAACGGGATTTTTTTTTTTTTTTAATTTTGCATTAATAACAACTGTATGTATGTTCTTGAAATAATGGAAGTGGAACTTACAAATACAGTGCCAATGAGATGCAACATGTCAGTTCTCCCCATCTTTCCTGCCTGCCAAACTACTACTTGCAAAATGTAGGATCTTTCCTTAGAAACACAGTAAGTCTCTTCCCATCTCAGATCTATCTCAAGAAGGGATCTCTCAACTCAGTTCTATCTTGGATTCAGCTTCTTTAGACACATGACAACCACATCTTTTCTGAAAGTAATTCTCTTAGTCCTTACTAGACAGGCATCTACCTGCCTACACTGACCCGCAGCTTTCCTTCCCCCACTCCCATGAAAAACAAAGCAGCCACTACCTCATTGGCGCCCACAGAACTGATCACACAGCTGATCTTAGTGTTCTCTTTAGACTCCAGGTAAATCGCCTGGCTCTTGTGGTACCTACAAAAATAAAATAAAAAGAAAAAAGAAACACAGGTTAAACACAGGGAACACAGGTTTTCCTAAAAAAAGGAAACACAGGTTAGCTGTCCAAAGTCTGAGAAAAGAAACAGTAAGGCTGATAAAGCTAGGATTCTGCAAGCATTGGGATAGAGCAAATAGAGAGTCTGTCTTTTTTCTTTCCACACCACTTTACCCATCTTCACCAACATACCAAGCGGTCTAATTCTACACACTCATACACACACATTTTGCATTTAAATGATGCTTCAGCATGTATGAAGCTCTCGACTCACATCCAATTCTGTAAGCAGATTACTGAACATAGATTTCACATCTGAAAGAGGGAGGGGCAGAGCACCAAGCCATAAGATGGGAGAACACTGATTGACAATAAACCCATGTTTCAACAGTTAAACTAGCCTTTCACATTTCAGACACAGGATGGATTTTAGAAGGCAACTCCATATTATGCCTGATAAAATGACAGAGCAAATCATATACTCAAAAGTTATTCACATTCCCCAACACAAAATTACTAGTGCAACAACAAAAGTGAATCAGTGCAGTCTATGTATTGTGTAGAGACCTCAAATTTCTAATACTGTCTTTTTTTGTGAAAATACCTAAAACAGTAACTAAGAAGCTGCATCTATGCCTGCCATAAGGAGGCTGTGTCTAAGCATATCCATTTTCTTCCCCTTTTAGATCACATTTTAGTCACGCTATATATTTTTCTTAGTGCATTTTGTATAAAACAAAGTAAAAACTTCAAAACTCACAACTCTGAATAGCTTAATTTCATGGTCTCGCCTTCTTCACAGACAGTGTTTCTGATAAGTGCTGCAAAGTATGCTAGACAAAATCCCCTAGTTTCTGCTTATCCTGCCTAGGAGAGTTCCATGGCCAGAACTACTTATACTGAAGCAGATTATTTTTAAGTAAATAATCTTAATCAAGAGAGCAGCAAAATGCTTTATAGTTATAAAAACATAACTATATTTCCATAACTATATTTTACCCTAATCGTGATGTGCTTCAGATTCAGCTGGGCAATGCAAGTTGCAGAATCACTGTACAGAGATTCCCTCAGTAACTACTCAGCATGCAACTCCCTGCAGTCTGATTGGCTGACAGCCATTTGTCAAAACGCATTGATTTGCATAATCTTTACAGTTATTTCTACAATAACCATACTGTAAATATGGAAGTCTTCCAATAGTTTATTCCACAATCTCTTCCTACTGGCTCATGTACTAAGAATTTTCACACTGCTTGCCAGTAACAAGAATGATAGTGTCAGCTTTCAGCTTTCCAAACGTACTAATTACCAATGGGCTGGGTGAAGTAATAAAAACCCCCTAAATCCTGCAACCTTTAGACACTTGTGCCTGACTATTATTTTCTCCCTCATTTTAACAGAAAGGATGTCAGCAGATTCCAGGGCAATGCAATAACAGCAATGATCTGAGTCAAAAAAATCTCAGTTTACTGATCATTAATTGATATAAAGGAACAGTATAGGCTACTACAAATCAGACCTCATGAAGACAAGACATAAAAATCCCAGTCCAGCGGTGTCCTACCATGCTATGCTGTGACTGCTTAAGCAAGGAGAATTGATCTTGATACAATCAGTGCACAAGCTTCCAAGTACAGAAGATACTACTGCAAATGACAATTCTCAAGTGATATCTGTGCCTACACAGATAACAAAATAATTTTTCCACTCAAAGCTGTTTCGTCTTATGTTTGATTATCAGTGAATCCCAAAGCTAAGGACACACATGAAGCAGGCTTCAGCCCCCGGATTCCACATCACAAGTTTCTGTCCATCAGTAAATCTATGTTAACTGTGCACAGAAAAGCCAAGGTAGCAAGTTAGTTTAGCACTTTTTTATTGAAGAATTGTCTCAGCTGTCTCTCTGCATGCATGGAGCATGAGACAAGTCAGCTGAAGGCACAGTAGCCTGGTACATCTGTACGTGTTCACTTCTCAGACTTTTGCCAAATTTATACACCCACAGGGGAACAGAGGGGTAGAACTGAGAAAAATACTTCAGATAAAAAGTGCAATGGAATTTAAATTGTCTTTCAAGAGAAGGAAAGTGCCAAACAACTCTTGTAGTAGGTAAAATATACCATAACACTGACAAGTGAGGCAAGCAGAAACAATTCCACTTTCTGCTACAAAATATTTTGCTGAAAGGCCAAGATTTTTCAACTTAATCTCCATCAGAAAATTGAAAGAAATCGCTCTGCATTATTGTATGCAGACAAAGCTAAAAGCAAAAAGATGGTTGTTTTACAGGGAACTGTATTTTAGGATCTTACAGGGGGCATGAAGTAAATTGATTGAGGATAAAAAAAATGAAGTCTAATTCCACATCCATCCGAAACACTCTATACAAAGTCTCCACTTTGGAGACATGTTTGTGAAATGTCTCTGCAGGACCTTAGGGAGTCCATTACTAGCCTTGAACATTCACTATTTTGAGATAATGGTCCTTCATGGCTGCTGTCAGGAAACAGAGAAAGTAGTCACTCCTGAGCTGTCAGTTTTATTATTTCTGGTACATGCCAGCAGCTACAGCCTTAATACACCTTAGAAAAAATTACCCTCCTACTATCAAGAGTTACTTCATTATTTTAAAATAACAGCTACTTTGCACAAGTACTATTACTATCAATCAAAAAAATCTAAGCAGGATTATTACAGCCAAAAAATGTAAAATACTTATCTTAAAACAGCCTAAGAACAAGGAAGACAGGAAAGGCAACAGCTGGAAATCCTGACAGTGAGACCCCCATGACAATTGAATTCAGCAAGATAAAAATATCTGTTAGTGTTTTATGTCCCAACTGGATACCTTTTAGAGAGAGCTTGTGCTTTTGAGAGATTCATCTGGGCTCATAGAAGCTCTCCCAGGTTTAAATTTGGTGGAAGCTTGGGAACTTCACTTTTTTAAAAATTTTACTTATGCAACACTTTACAGTACTCCACATGCTTAAAAATTCTGAAGAACAGTTTATTCATGCAAATATATCCTAGAGGATAGTCACTCTATACAAAAAATACGAAAGCAAAAAAAGAACTTCATGAATTTGTGAAATGACAGGTAGCCTGTTCATTTCTGCTTTACACTTCACAGAAGTTTAAGCTCCCAGCAGCAGCTTTTATCAGAGCTGCATACATTGAACCCTCGATGAAACTTCACTGTCAGAAGATGAGCAGAAGGAAAAACTGACCAACTGTACAAGATGGCTGTTGTGTAGAAAACAATCTTCAAGCCTATCTTTGCCTTGATAAAATTAAAACCTCATCACTTGTTATTTTGAGCAACCAGAACACCAAAGTAGGCTACAAATAAGCATATGACTTGCAAACTGCTTTCTGCTCAAGAAGTACTAGATTGCCCCCTTGATTATCCAGTTTTGCATGTCTCATGGATTAAGTTTAAGACCTACTAAGATTTCTCTGCAAAATTTAATATTTTCCTTGTGTTTTGTGAGGCTTGCACAGCTATATGCTCATAAAACTTAACAGAGCTAAATCCAATCAGTAATTCTGAAGTTGCTTCTCCCGTGTGGGTTTGATCTTTAAAGGTTATTTGGATTTGTTATTAGAAACATTTTTCATTCTGCTTTTCTGGTGCACAACATTTCTTCTGCCACCTTGTGGAACAATGGGCTGGAGTTGTACAAAACTGAACACCAGGACTGAATACCACTGATGCCACCACACCCACAACCACAGAGTATCTGTACCCCAGCTGACCGGCTTCACAGCTACATCACGCTGTGTCTGCTGGTGGCTCTCTTACCTAACATTAGGTTTGACAAAAATGTTTCCCAAGTGTCACAGTGTGTGCTACCGACTCCACAGAGAAGATTTAAGACTCCTTTTATTCAAGCCAGTAGTTACTCCTGAAAGTATGTCTAAACACTCCCTTATCATTTCTGATTTACCAGAGTTGCAATGATTAGCCCTTGGAGGAAGTGGCCAACCTCAGCCCAAGAACATTTTGTCCTCAAATTCTTTTATCAAAGCAATTTCTCTCTGCAGTCTTTGACTCCTCACTACACACAGACTGATTAAACCAGAAATTTACCAGGACTTACCATCTCTTATCATAGTAGAGTTTCCCATCTTCTATCCGGGCTTCAAACCGCTGTGCTGGAGACTCTGCGGGTGTGGCTGGGAGGTGTTCGGGAGAGGAGGGAGAGGCTGAGGAGAGAGAGAGACTCTATTTAAAGACCAGCATGTGTCCACCACACAGTAGCACACCTGACTGCAAAACTGCAATTAGTAAATTCATATTAAGCTGAAATAATGAGCACAGAAAGCTACAAACTCAAATTTCCATCAGAAAAATATTCTCTATTGGGATGAATAATTCAACCCCTGCCTTGAATATACAAGTGATAATATTCACTGAAATACAACATTTATCTGAAAAAATGTGTCAGGCAGGTGATAGACAATGTGTGCTTGATTTTAATTCTAATCTAAAATAGTTATATAAGGTCAGAATTACTTAGACAAGTTCATACCACTCTTGACTTGAAATAAAGCATAGACACATTTAGAGAGCTGAAGTCATAAAACCCTAAATTCTCAATCCCTCCATCTACCTGACAAGCAGGCAAGCTGCCCAGATGCACCTGAATATAATGGAAAAACCTTTACATAGTTAGATTGTCCCCTGCCCAAATGTTTCAGCCACCAAAGATGCATATGCACCCCTTCCCATCCCTGACAAACTTCAGAACATACGAAGAGACTTCACACAGCACCCATTCACCACAGTAGCTACACAAAGAACAGCAATTACACAGTCAAAACAATTATGCAGTCAAATTACACAGTTGGCAATTATACAGTGAAACAGTCTACAGTATAATTCTCTGTTCAAAACAGCATGACTGTGAACAAGTTCCAATGCAACTGTTAACTCACCTGGTCTCTTGGGTGATTTAAGCTAAATGGAAAGAGAGCAAAAAAACGTTAGAGATCTGACGTGAGCCAGAGGTCTGCAGTAATAATTTCAGATAGTCTTACTTTCCATACTCTAAATGCTTCTTTTTTTGAATGTACTGTAAGTGGCATAACATGTAACCAGAACAGCATGCTATAAGCAGCCAAAGGTATAGACAGTGAGCATGATGGTACCAAAGATCTACAAACTGAACCTCAGAGCATTTAGATAATCCACTGAAACAACTCAAAACCAAAGCCATCTAACAGACTGTATTTTTAACACAAACCAACATTTCTCAGGGTACACAAATACAGGAGATAAATCATTCAAGACACCTCAAAAGCGGGAACAAAACACAGGCTCCACTACCATCCTCAAATGCCTTAATGAGCAGCCTCTATTACAAGAAATTGGGCAAGCCTTTAAGTGTTTAGCAAGAAAGCAACATGTTATATTCTTTCTAGGTGTGATTAAACATACACACTGCACCCTATCCAGTTTGAAGTATTGCTGGGGAGCAAGAAAAAAAACCCTAAAACACCACCCCACACAGACAAACATTTTAACATCTGTTCAGCCATGCGGAAGAAAATCCTTAAGATAGCTCCTCACTTGGTTCAGACAAAAGGTAACATTTTTAGATGACAGTAATTTCAATTAGGTTATTTAAACCTATTAAAATAAAAGGGATGAGATACCTTTTGCTAAATCTTTTATTCTGTTACTTCAGAAAGCCTATTGGGATGAAAAAGTCCCACATCTCAGAAAGGAGTATTAGAGAGCTCTGTTCTCTTCAGAGGAAAGCATTAACTTTCTCTTTTAAACAAAGAAATACAAATCAAGAAATAATCCCTACCTTATTCAGTGTTCTCAGGTCCTCCATTATTTGCTCATCAGTCAACAAATAATTTAGCTGAGGTATCCAGAATTAAGGTTCCCATAAGCTCTTGGCAAGTAAAGCTAAAAATTAAAGGTCAATGACATTTCCCTTGACTAAATGTAAGTCAAGATGTTTCTGCAAAGTTGCTTAAGATTTTAATAAGTGTCATACTTGAGCTTTTCTCATCACAAATTAATACAAGTCCATCTCTGCAGAGCCTCAAATTTAGCAGCAAATAAGAGTGCAAAATCATTTTAACTTATTCAGACACAACCATCGATGAAAAACCTTTAGTGCATTGACATTTACTTCAGAGAGGCATCAAGCGCTAGCATTTTCAGTGGTTTTCATCCTGCATTGCTGTAGAGAATAATCTGGAAGCTGAAACAGACTCACTTCAGATTTCACACAATGAAGCTGAATCCCATCCAAATAAAGAAAAAGAAACTCATCTGCAACTCTGTAAACAGGAATAGAGAGACAAGGAGGGGAAAGCCCTGCAAAAAAACCATCAAAAAAGAATCAGAAAATGAAGTCAGAGGCACAAAACACATCCTTGTGTGGATGAGGATAAATAAGAGCCTACCACTCCCCTGAAACAAACCCAAAATTTCAGAACACAGAAGTTCATGTATTATAGGCTTCTTAGATCTCTACTGTTATTTTGTGTAGTTTCACAACCTTCCTACTTCCCTTTTCTCCTGATCCTCTGTCACTTCCACACAAGAAACACCTAAGTACACAGAAAGAAAACAATACGCAAAGCAGTGGACCCTTTCTCCAGCTTTAAGCTACAGTGTTTCTCCAAAACAGCTGCTAAGTCAAAAATATTCAAAGTATAAAACTAAAGTTAACAATTGCTAGGCTGCATTTTAAGGATTTTGGTTCTGATGGACTTTAATCCCCTCCCCAGTGAGGAAAGGCAGATAGAGTTTCATACTCTGGCTGCTGTATCATGTTCAATTAGCAGGTCAAGTTCACTATGAAACTCATTTATTTTGGATGAGATAGGGGCACTAATAAATATTTTTTTTTCCTGAAAGAGTGAACTGAATCTCCAACCAGAAAGAGGTTAATTAAAACTGGAGATGCCTGTGACCATCCCACATAAACTCTAGAAGTTCAATGTTTGATATTGCCTTCAGAAAATGTGAGTCATTCAGAAGTCATAAGATAAGTTTTTTTAATCTGATTTAAGCCATACAAGTTTGGAATCTAATAATAATCCTCTGCAAAGCAAATATCATTGCCTTCCTTTCCAGGTGAATTCAATATACAAAAAGTGTCTATCATCACAGAGAGCTAAAAACATTTCCAGAAGCCAGAGAACATTTTAATTAAAAGAAACATGCAACAAGGCAGAAGAGAAGGATTACATATATATGTTTTTCTCTCTCTCAAAACAAAACGGATTTTCATAATTTTTTTTTATTCAAAGAACAAATCTAGCACTCCTTGCTTTTGCTATGCATCTCTCTAGATTAGAGATCTGAAGCCTTTATCAGAAATGGAAAAACTAGTTTGATATGACAAATATCATCTTTCCGGCAAATGTTTTGTCACATCTTGAAATGAGAAAAGCCTTGGCTCATATAAAAAGCCTTTTTCTATCTATGGAATCAATTACCTCAGCATTTATATATAATGTTCTTTTAAAGTTTTTCCTTTGTGAAAAAAATTGTCTGAAGAATTCAAACTATTCTCACTAACAAAAAAAAAAAAAAAAAAAAAAAAATACCAAAGGATCTCTAAAGACTAGTTGTTATATTAGTTTATCACACATTATACATGACAAATCGTGCTTCAGTATTTCTGAGACTAAAATCTGATCCTAGCACCTCATTTCATTTTCCTTCCTGTACAATACAACATAACTGCAGGTAGCCTGCTGGCTTCAAATAGCCCTCCAATGACTCTGTAAAAGGATATCAGGGGCAGGTTTCCTCCTCTTGTCTGGGATAGGAACTGGATCATTTGGTCGTCGCCTCAGTTTCCTCGTCATAATAGGCTTCACTTCCATTGAATCTGTAATGAAGTTGGAGAGCTGATAAGACCAGGGGTAAAGGAGTAAGAAGCAGCAGCTTTCTACACAAGGAAAATAATCTTTCCTCTTTCATACAGAAAATTGGATTTTTTTTTTTGGCGATAGCTTACAGCATGCAAGCTGGAACTGCTGACAGTGAATACAAGTGCTCTTTCATATTAGGTCAGTGTTCAATAACAGCGTTGCAATGCCATGGTTACGGCTTTCCTTGGCTGGAAGTGGCACAGTTGGTTTGGGGGCATTTTACAGCTGCTTCAGGTACAGATAACAAGCACAAGGATGCTACAAGGATTCAGGGCAAATTTATTTAATGCTAATGTTACCTGCTTTTAAACAGACCATTTAAAGGCAAAGTTCATCGAGTTCTTTGCTAACAAAACTTGGGATAGTTAATAGCATATAAAACATCAGCTACAAATGCTCTTTTTCTTGTCTTCAAGCTGGAAAAATAGCTTTGTCAAAAAGGATAGAGATAATTACTGCATTCACATCTGATACAAGTCTGCTGGAATAATTTTAAACATTAATAGTATTTAAATGCAGATTATCTAAAAATGTTTCAAATTATGATTAGTGAAATGAACCCAATTAATAACATGCAGAGCAGCAGCTGACAGGAAATAAATTGTAGCATATGAAAAGTATGAAAAAATATGTTAAAAATTGAAACAAAAGTCTCATCACCAAGTAATTACCTGAAATTAGTTTGTCCAAATGTCTACAGGTAGTCTTAACCAAGCTACTTAAACTCTCACAAATCACTCCTTAATTTATGAAGATATCTTGAATTGGCAACCAAGAGACCACATCTTACATGCTAAACACATCATCTCACCTCTCTATGTGCTGAGAATTATTTGCTGATATTTAAGTACACCTGAATCACATCCTAGGTAGCACTTCAGTCTATGAAGCTTCTTTGGCTCCCTCTAGATGCTAAAACCGTGAGCAGCTATGCATGTTCAAAATACGCCAAATTGCTTTTCCCCTTATCTCAAGGGTGAACAAGGATAACCATGCTGCACATCAAGGGAACAAATATTATGATAAAAGCTTTACAAAAGAAAAAAACACAACAAAGTACCAACCCAGCGAAGGATGCTTTATGCGTACGTGAAAGGCAAGCTTATCTCTGGGATTCAAAGCTGAATTTGAAAAACACTGAACATTAGTAGCCCTGCAGACACTGAAAATGTAACTTACTGCACTGAATTAAGCCATTCTTACCATTTGTTAAGATCAATTTACAAGAGCCACAGAAGAGGGTTCTGAAGCACTTAAGGGGATATGCAGCCAAGTTGAGGTTTTTTTTTTTTAAATTAGTTTCAAACGAGTTGCCACAGAGTTGTTACCTATATTGCTTAAAATGTGAATAAGGCAGAGATAGCAATTTTCTTCTCTTTATCTTAGGGCCCTGTATCTTAAAATTGTGACAAGTCATCTGAAAGTCAGTACCAAGCAAGTTTTTTTAAAAAAAAACAAAACCAAACAGTTTGAGCATCTTACATTCACTGTTAAGCATCTGAAGATTCTTGATAGACTAATGAAAACTTTATAAAGGAAGTTTTGAAGGGCTGCTAAAGCACCAACAGACTGAACCTGAAACACAGTCTTGCATGAGGCTTAAGAGTTAATAATCACACTATATAGTGCTCCAGAACAGGAGGCAACTATTGCAACTTAATGAAACTGCAGTGCTCCCAATGCTCAGACAAGCCTGTTCATCAGGTTGCTAACTTGCATCCTTGCATACACTGAACTTTGATACGTTTTAAAAACTGTTGAGTCCACATCAGTTTCAGTATTCTTATTTCTTAGCCTCTAGCACATGTTCCCTACAAAAATCTGTTACTTCTAAAGAAATCACATTGCACTTCTGCTAGTCTGGAAGGAAGGAGATAAGGGAGGGCTAACACACACAGAACAGATCTCTTCTCCACAGTTACTTACGTGCCTTCCCTAGAGCTGTATTTGATTGAACCGCTCATCTCTTCAGGACACACAGCAATGGGGGGACACATTTCCCTGAAGAGGATTAATCTGGTCCCCAAATCAGATTACTAAATACTTTTTACCCCTCCTCAGTCTCCTTTTAACTCTGCAAATCCATATCCTGATGTTAACAGCTGTCTCTGATAGAGAATTTGGACTCCTTCAGATTCCTAAAACACTGGCATGCAGATTTCCAACAGTAAGATCTAGTCAGATCCAGATCCACTAATGAAAATCTGCTTACAAGATTAGCACTGTATCTCAATTTAGTTGTGAACAGTCACAGACATTGGACAACAGTAGGAAAGACACAGTTTGTAAGATCAGACTAGACTTCATAATTTAAAAAAAAAAGATCAGGGAAACAGCATAGCTCAAGCTGTTTTCCAGACCAGATGAGCCCTAACACTTTGTACAAAGTCAAGAGCACTTCTGAATATGTCCATACAGGTTCTAATTCTCACTACTGAAAACAAATTATTAGCTTACATAACTTCTGTAGATACCATGCAAGAAAGATACAAAAGGTCTAACCCATGGTCAGGCCTCAGCAACACAACCAACATAATCTCTCCATGAAGTGAAGGAGTTGCTCTTAAAAAGAGCCAAATCAGAATTTTGGTTCAATATCACAGCAACACAACTTGTGAAGGTTAATTACCCCTCTACTTAGCTCCACTGTGTCAGCTACTGCAAAAAGCATCGCCAAGGCACCAAGGTTACCAACTGGTCTCATGAAAGAAATCTGTTCATTTTATGTCCATTTTCCAGAGTCTGGACACAAGTGTAGCTCACAAATATCCTTCCGGCTTTAAGTAGCTTGTTTCAACCTTGATTGTTTGCCTTTCTTCAACTTCTTGATCACTTATTACTGGAGAAAAGAGTACAGTTTGCAGCCTGGCACCTCCAGTTAGGTCAACATTGTGGCATACTCCAGTAGTTTTGTTGCCAGATCATATTAACTAAAGCAGCCCTGCATACAAGAAAGCCTATCCACTTTGCTGCTTCACTGGCACTATTTTGATTCACCTGTTAATAATTCAGGTCACTGAATTTTATTATGAACTGCCTTCTCCATTAAAAGGCCACCAATTTGTGTTCTACATCTATTGGCATTTGGAAAGCTTTAAAGCCTTCATACAGGCTCTCTGTATAAACCAGCACTGCTACCTTTTTTTTCCCCTTTTTCCCCAAGCAACAGCAGAGGGGATCAGATGAATGCCTCTGTTGTTCTTACCTCCTGTTAATTCCATGGTAAGCTTTTCATTCTCAATCATCTTTTTTTTCTCTTCCAACTCTGCAATCAAATTTTCCTTAAGCTCAATTTTCTTATCTTCAAACTCCTTTGCTGCTGCCTTCTTTTCCTTGACGTAATTTTTTTCCACCTGATCTGTCTAATGCAAACCAAAAGAACAAAAACGTTAATTAAGGAATCAATGACTCAAGTTAATGAGATGAAACCAGCTTCTTAAAACTGCTGTACTGATTAGCTTTGCAGTTCAAAACTGTAGCTAGTTCTAGAAATTATCAATATTCATAATCAACAGAAAAACATGCAAAAATTACTAAGCAAGCAATACTATACTGGCAAAAGAATTAATTAAAAAAAACCCCACCACATTTTAATGTAGCATCAAGTCTCTAGCAAGATCAAATCTATAGCAGTGCCCTTCAGATTTATAAACAGCACAATCATTTATTACCTTAAACAACCTTTTTTAATAAACCAAATCCACAGCCAGCATACAACAGTCCAAGAGCAAATACTTCTTTTAATTCTAGTGACAAAGTCCAGAAGTTACTTGTTACAGTAGGCTGTACTACACCTCAAGTGTAACAACACTATCTACAGGAAGATTTCTTTAAGCCTTCTGGGAAAACAAGCACAAGTACTAGTTGATGAAACAGGAGGTTAATATCTCTTCTATCCAGTTAACATATATTTTGATAAATGAAGTGTACTTACTTCCAGCTGGAGAAACAGCTCTGAAAGACAAGAAAGACAATTTATTATCTTCGACGATGCACAAAATCACTTCCCTTACATTTTAAGTCACTGCATATTGCAGCTAAGAGAGGCAGTGAACCAAAGAGTGTATGTACTCATCCAACCTCTACTTACTTTGCAGTTTTACACTGAAAATAAAGGAACTATGAAAAATTCCACAAAAACACATTGCTAATTGAAGTTTTCTACAGATTGTCAAGTGGATTTGCAAAGCTTACACTGCAATATTATTCAGCATAGCTACTATTCCCAGCAGTACTAAGCATGTAGTCCATCCTTCTTCCAGTTTAATTACAATCAATTAATACTAGATATAAACTTGAAACATGCAGCTGAATGTATGGCTGGCAAAAATTCACAGTTTAATCCAACTTCATGAATTTCAGCAATGACTGGTTCAGAAATAATTCTGCAGCTGTTTGAAGATTTATCTACTCAACTCGCATGTGTCTGATCTCAAGCTGTTTACACCTGAGAACACAAGCAAGGAAATCATTATGTATCACTGAAGGTTAAACTCTAACACATGGCTATGACTAGTTCAAGTCAGACCTATGGATGAGACAAATGGATTTATGGGTGTGAAATAATCCTGCTACTGATTTCTGCACAATTCCTAACAACTTGAAATTAAGTAGGATGGAAGCCTTCTTGTGTTTCCTGGAGGACATAATGCTCAAAAAGTTTTTACTCAAGACAGTGGCAATAAAAGCAAACTAAGGCATCTGATCAGTCCTCAAGTCACCATATTTCACCAGCCTATTACGCTTTGGCAATACCTGAAATAATAAACTTCTGCAAAGATCACAGGCTTCAAATACGTTTTGGAGAAGACTATAGTAGCAGCACTGTACTAATGTGCCTTTTTTAAAATAAATTTTAAGAAACAACAAAACAGATAACAAAGAGGATAATGGTCCAATAAAAATCAAACCTTTTGTTTGCAAAGGGCTCTATGGAAACAGTACTATGAAGGTAATCAAATACAAGTAAATCTTGCTTTAGTATCTGTGAATTCTAAAAAAAAAAAACCCAAAACACAACAAAAAACCCACAACACCTCACCAAAACCAACCCAAAAAACAACCCCAAAAAATCCAAAATGAAACCCAAACAAAAAAAAACACCTAAAACCTCAAAATACGAAGGATAAACGTCAAATATCATTCTTCCTGTAGTACTAGACAGATAGAATTCTTTTATCATAAAATTGAAAGTTATCAACATCTGCCCTCATGTGGAAGAAATATGTTGCTGCAGCACTGGTCTTTGCCAGAAATACAAGTTTACAGTTGTCTTAATTTTATCAAAACAGCATAATATTGCTAGAATACAGCTCTAGTGTACAGGAAATTAATCTCAGAAGACATATTCCTGTTAACAAGAAGTAGTTTAACTCAATTCCCTCAAAGAAATCCTTTACCCTCCCAAGTGCTTTTAGAAAGACACAATTTACACTATTCAAAGGTATTCAAACATTAGCCATCATACAACTGGCACTGCCTCTCTGTCATATTTCCCAGAGTAACAGCCCAGGAATTAGAGAATTCATCCAACTTTTCTAGAGGACGGACAGCTACATTTCCTATTTCTGCATAATAGCTTCTATAAAAGGCCTGGCTTCAGCATCCAAGATAAGAACCTACTGGAAAAAGAACAAACAAGAAAGAGGGAGGGCAAGCAAACAAATCTGATTTCCAAGCCATTTCTCTGACACAATAAAGGCTCCCCAGAAGGGCTGAGAACTAGGCACTTTATAAAAATTAATTTGGGTCTTCGCTCCTGAAACAGAGCGGAACACAAACTACAGGCAGCCCATTCAGTGTCACAACAATACAGAATAACAGTTCCAGCAGCAAACTCTCTGTATTAATTGTTCCAGGGCACAAAACAGATCTTTGGGAAAGCATGTAGTCCTAACTTTCCACTCCTGTAAAATGAAAGAAATCATGCACCTGAAGGTTTCAGAGAAGTTGCACAAAACAAGAGGCCAAAGAGGGAGACTGTCTGTTAGGCATGGTGCCAGATAAAAATGATTTTTTTTTTTTTTCCCCTTGCACTGTTTCACACAAATGAAGACTAAAACTCTTTATTGGTGCTTAGTAGACAGTCAGCACACAATGCTGATGGAGGAAAAAAAAAAAAAAATCAAGACAGATCCCATCATGCTTTGTGCACTCTCAAAAAACCTACACTATACCCTTGGAAGCAGAACCACCCCTCCCTTACTTCAACAAGTTCTTTTTCTTTAAAGGGCAGAATTACCATTATTTTTCTTCAGGTGTTATAGAAACCATGAATTTAAATTGTATGCAGCATCTCAGAAAGAAATTCAGCTTACCTGCATTTCGTATCCTTTCTTTGTACTGCTGATCCAACTTCTTCATTCTTTTCTGATATTCCTGAAGAGTACCTAGTTGAAATAAATTGTAGATTCCCACTAGAATTTTTTTTCCAAGTATTATGGAGCCATACACCACTTGAAACACAAATACTAGCATCTGAAATCAGAAAACTACAGTTCTATTTTGCTTATTTTGATAAGCACATTCCCTGTTTTTTCAGAAAGTGGCCTACTACTTTTAAGAAATGCTTTAGTACACAGAGGCTTAACTACAAGTGTTTAGAGGGAAAAAGGATGGAAGTGGCTGACATTTTTCACTCCGCAGCATGACTGAGAGCCAACATTCAGTGAAGGATGCTGCTTATATCTTTCAAACCCCTCATCCTTCTATGACCTTTGGAAAGTGCTGAAAAAACAAAGCTACCCCCTTCAAAGCTTACCTTCCTGCAATTGTTGTAATTGCCTCTTAAGAGATGCCAGTTTATCCTGATACATCCTGCAAAGATAAAGAGCATGCAACTTTGTTTTGAGAAACAAGCATACATAGCTTATTTCACTATCTGTTTGGGTTACAACGTGTTTATATGGAATTAAACACTTTTCTGAAGAACTTACGGAAACAAATAAATGATAACTAAAAGAATATTATTCAAATGAAAGGTTAGCATTCTAAAATCCCTGCCAGCCCATTGGTTTTAAAATGCACCCAAAATTATTTTTTTTAAATGTTAAAATCTAAAATGACATTTAGATTTATCAATGCCCAAAACTTCACAACATAATCACTCTGTCACTTTGTCAAGCCTTAATGTTTTTGTATTAGTTCCCTACTTCTAAAACATAAGGCATTTCCTCACATAGATCTTGACATTATTAAAAAAAACCCCAAAGTGTATTCCTGGTGCTACTGCAAACTTGCATTTCCTTCACCCCAAGCCAAGTCCTCCTGACCAGTATAAAAACATATCTCTGACAGTAAGCAAGAACACAAAATACTGCAAACCAACCTAAACATCAAGGGAAATTATTTCAAGTCTCCAGACAGTCCACCTTCTTGGACAGGACTAGCATTCTATTGTTTAAGGGATTTTAATAGGCATCTTGCTTTTTGCTCGGCTTACATAAAATAGATCCTTTATTTAAAGGATTTGTCCACAGCAGGATTCATCTGCAGGAAAACTCAGCTGCTCCCAGAAACTCACACCTATTTCTTTGTCCAAAACAGTAGTAGCAGTTAGTTTCTTGAATACAGAACAGAGAAAGTAACTAAGAAATACAAGTATATGGACTTATTACCTATTACATTGGGCTAGGCACTATAGAAACTCCAATCTCGACCCAAAACACTGCAAAGTTTTATGCAAAAAAGGGGAAAAACAAATAAACAGATTACCACCTTACTTTTGATTAGAATGGGTTACTTACTGTTCTTTCATTTCTACAAAGTCCTCTTCCTCATGCTTTGCCAGGTCAGTTTCACTGGCATCCTCAGTGTCTAAATGAGGTAAAGAATGACTTGTTAAAACTAAGTCTTTTTAAAAACCCCGAAGTAGTAAGTTATTTAAAAACAAATAAATAAAATCGCCAAACCTCAGGTAATTTAACCTCAAATACACAACCAGACAGACCTTTGGAGAGCTGAATTCAGAAGCAAAGCAAACCAACCCATGTTTTTCCTTAACTCCAAGTTAACCTATGTAAAACCTCTGGTAGTTTTGTGACTAAGCTTACATCAAATCTAAACAACTTCAATTTAAGTCAGCCTGGCAATTTCTTCCCAGGTTAAGATATCAGGTCTTACAGTAACACTTACACATAAAAGGTGTGACAGAAACAGTCTAAAGACTTTGAAAAATGTTTCAGACTTCTTGCTATAGTTTTGCCCCTCATATGTGGAAGATAATGACTGAAACAGCTGTAACTGGTTCTGCACCTTGACCTGAACAAAAGTAGTATGACTAGAGGCTGTTAGGGTTTACCACAAAGGTCTCACTAAAGATAACAAAGCTACTTGCTGTGATCTGAACTTCACTTCTCAGCTACACATCACACAGAAGTACTTCAACATATATACATACCAGAGACCAGCACTACCATAGTCCCAACTTTATGAACAGATAATATAAACTAGAAACAAATTAAACCAGTATGGGACTGCTAGTTTTCTGCTATGCCTTTTCAAGCTCCTATTTATAAGACACAAGTAGACAAGAATTAATTACCTTTCCTCCCCAAGGAGAGGTCAGTGTCTCTGGGCCTGACTGTGGTAGGCAGGGTACAGCTGTAAAGCCTTAACTACAACAACACTCCCTACATATGGACAGAGGCATCAGTCCTGTCAAACAAATCTTTCTGAGATATTTCTTAAACTATGAACAAATGGTTTAAGCTTACAGGTATTAAGACAAAATTCAATACACCAAACACAAACCACAAAGTTTTAGAAAAATACTTAGATGCCTAGGTCACTAGAAGGGACATCTATACTCGGTTTACTCATATGCAGCCACAGAGAGGCCCCCACTGACCAGTACACTGTCATCCTTCATAACTATCTACTGGTCTTGGCTCTGGCACCTCATTCATGAACATACCAAATGTGATGGGAGGATTCTGGCTGACAGAGCAACAGGCACTGTTGAAAGGTCGTTCTTCATCTCACTCATTTATTATTGTATGCATCCTATACCCCAAGATACTCTGGGTTTTACTTCCACACCCTCTTCTCCACTGCTTTCCTGGTTCTTCTACAAACCCTCTCTTTCCTCTAACATCTTCTTGCACTCCCTTACTTCTGACCACGCTTTCTCTTCCCTCTTCACACCACATTAATACACTGGATTTCTCCATTACTTTTACCCTGTTGTCCCATACAC